CCCCAAAACCCCAAAACCCCAAAACCCCAATTAGTATTTAGGGATGGAAAATTAGGTTTTAATAAAATGAGCAACAATAAAATTATACTACTGCTTGTCTGCTTGATCTTGGTGGCCAAAGGAAGTAGAAACTCTCAAGGAAATATCACTGGTTTCGGAGAAAGGAACTTGGGGTGGGGCTCTTCAAGTTATGACGAAGATTGCGATTGTGAAGAGAATCATGTTTGTGAGGGAAGTACGATGGAATGTGTGATCCTTCCTATTATAGTGTTTTTAGCGGCTAGTTTAGTGATGTTTACAGGCGGGTATGGACTATTTATTTGATGCAGGAAATGTGGTGGAGATCATCAAGAAAATACATGTGATCAAATATTTATTTGCTATTTCTGCTGGCCATGATTTATAATACCCAAGTTATTAAAAAAATGAAGATGAAAGAGAGAAAAAAGGCCAATAAAGATGCCCAAAGCCACTTCCCTAGCAACTCCTAATACTCCAAAAGAAACCCCGAATTTCTCTGAGATAAACGCAAAACCTCAGGTAAAAACAACCAGATTCCCTAAAAATGATACTAAAATACCATAAAATTGACAAAACAGATATAACCTGATTCCATTAAACTCCCTCAATCTACCAAAAACACCTATACACCTACGAGCAGAACCAAATTTCCTTCCGACAACCAAAAGGAAGATTCTATAAAGAGTCACGTATCCCCATCAGATATCTCCATCACAGACCAAGGACAAGCAATCAAGCTACCACCAATCAACAAAACCCATATATCCTCATATAAAGCTTCTTCAAGCTCTAATAAATCAGAATCTGCCTAAGAGTAAGCACAGTGGGACATTTTACTATAACATTTACCATCTTCTTCAATTCCATAACGAAAACTTACACTAAACCAGCTGATCTATTCCCCTTAATCTCCTAAAACCTAACTCTCAACCTAAACTGTCCACCATATCCCACCAGTAATATTGCTCAAAAGGAACTCTGAAACATCTTAATCCATATTTCTAGTTAACCAGCACTCAATGGGAATTAATGGCCTCGGGGTTTTGGGGTTTTGGGGTTTTGGGG